CCAGAAGCAGAAGCCCCCTACACATTCAGCTCCAGCTTCTTGACCTGAGAGACCTTTTGAAGTGTTGTGTGTGTCTGTATCAGGGATAGGGTTTCCTAATGACCTCCAGAGCTGTGATTTGCCATACAGCCTCCCCTTTGCTTCCTTTTCTGTGGCATTATTTCAGAGCAATAGCTGATTGCTAGCATGCAATTTAGCAATGACCAAAAAGTTTAGCTTTCACTGTAGCATTGTGACATTTGAGAAATACTACATTTCTTTCTTGCCTTAATCTGGGCTAACTGATCTCACTGTTCAGGAGTAATATACTGAAGGGTTTGCAAACAGTTGAATGGTATGCTTGTATAACAAAATACAAGTGAGGCGCAGCAGTCTCCTATCCTACAAAGACATGGACATCAGTGTGAGACCTGCAGCCACATGGTAAAAAGCAAGGACAGGCTAGTACTATGTCTCCCATACACTATGGGGGAAACAAAAAGCTAGTCCCTGAATTAATTCTGAGTTACAATGGGGATGAGCATAGGGTAAATAAACGTAGCTCAGCACAGTGTTTTATCAGCTGGCATGTTAGGAAGTTTGAAGTCCAGCCAGATGTCTCACACTGTGCGTGACCCCACACCACATCTCTTCAGCCAGTGCAAAGCAGCAGTGAGAAATCAGCATCAACAGCAAAGGATGGAGTGCCCAAGGCAGGAGAAATCCTCTTCACTTGAGCAGCTGGTGTTGTAGCACCGTGGACGTGCTGCTGCTCCTGTCAGTTCCAGAAACCACAAGGCACAGACAAGCAGTGCAGCCCCCATGGGACGTGCAGCCGCTGGTTGCTCCCTGTGCAGTCAGAGCCTGTGTGACATTGTGTCTACACAGGAAAACTAACTCTTATTTAAGGTCCCGGTACTAGAGGGAAGTTTGGTTTGCTCTAGCTGCTTCTGCCAGCAGTCAGGCTGCAGCTGAGGAGGTAAGTGCTCTGGAGGATAAGAAACATGGCCTGAACCAGGAGTTCATGTTTTCAGCCCATAGCTGGTAGGAAATCCAGAGCTGCGGTTTGTTGCACAGGCTCTCTGGAGTCTCCAGGTTTATTCCTTTTACTTGGGGTACAGGCTGAGGTGTGCTGCATGTGAAATTTCCACACTGAGTGAGAGGAATGGTGGCCACAGCCTGGAGTGCGTTTGTGGTGAAGTGAGTGCTGAAATAAAATGGCCTTTTGCAGTAATTAAAGGATGTCAGGGTGCTGCATTAGTGAGCTGGGGACTCAAGGGACCCTATGAAGAGCAGAAAGGGTTCATAACATCTGGGTCCTTTATGCATGAGGGAGGGATCCCTAGGGGACTGTCTATAGCTCAAACACTGCACATTAAGGTACTCAACAACATCCTCAATCTTCCTGTACACACTACCTTACCTTGGAGGGAATAAACTGCATTTACCACTCGTATTATAGCACAGAGTATCACTTAATCACCATGGAGGAAGGTAAACGGGGTTTGTTTCACTACTCTATTCATCTGTATTTTCTCCACCTCTCACTGCAGCTGGGATCTCTCCCCTGATACAATAGCTGACAAGACACCTACAAACTCTGAGCATGAGGATTCCCACCAAGGGGCAGGTGGGTCCTCCCAAGCACACAGCTGAACCGTGTAAAAAGCCTGTCCATCAGCACTCATTTAACAGCCCAAAGCTCTGCAAAGGCTGGGGTGTCCTAGCAATACCCTCCCTGATCCATTGCAGGGCCAGGTGGGTGATACCTTGCACACAGCCCAGCTTCTCATCAGTGTGACAGCATCCAAAAGACCATCTTTTCGTCCCTGTTCACTGCAGGGGGTTGCACTAGATGACCTTTGAAGGTCTCTTCCAACCCAAACTATTCCACAATTTTATCCCACCACTTCTGCCAGGGAAAGGGGCTGTTCCCAGGCCAAGTTATGGTTGCTAGCAGAGTCAAGGTGTTGTAGCATGAAAGCCACAAGAAGGTCAGACTGGGAATGCATTTACTGTGTTACATAATGTGATATTAATGAAAAAATAGTCCTACAATGTGTTAACGTGACTCAACCCCATGAAAGAGAGATGACACCCTCCTCATTTGCCCAAGGGTTTATATCACATTGAAGGTGCTTTTTCCTTCTGAAATGCTGTGGGGATGTTTTGAACCCTGACTAAACTGCTGATTTTAATTTGCTTTGTTAGTCACAATCTCATCTCCTGAAGAGATCAGTCTCTGCCAGCGGCCTTAAACAAGAGCATCTGTACTGGGAGGTACAGAGGGGAAGGGGACTTGTAATACCCTGTGAGGAGGCAGCAGCATTGACTGAGGAGGTGTCCCCCATCCTCCCTCATTCTCTGTCAGCCACGATGATGTGCTGGGAGATGAGCCCCCTCCTTCCCCTGGGACTGGTCCACCTTGTGGGTCTATCTTCTCAGGCTCCACCTGAGTCAGTTGTGGAGGCACTGTGAGGCACAGCTTCTGGCAGCAGTAGCTGCACCTCTCTGCGTGTGGTTCTTATTCCCATCCCAAATACTTGCCTTCCACAGACGTTGGAGCTGTGCAGATGGAAGCATATAAGACTCCGGGGGCTGTGGACAACCCTGTGTTTGAGGACACAAGCAATTATCCCGGGCACCAGGAGACTTTGTGATGAGGCTGGGCAGGATGTCATCGGCTTCATTGGCTCCTGCTGAGTGCAGAACCAAAATGCAAAGTGGAATATGATGCAGAGTAGATGACAGGTTGCCTTGGTGCCCCTGTTACACCCAAGCTCCACATCCACAGCAAGGGGTGAGTTTAACTTTTGCACTAATGTTATACAGAATATTTGTAATACTCAGAGCAAATTCCTGCACAGAAAATGTAAAGCCTCCATAGGTGCCATGTGAGTAAGAAATTGCGACAGACATGGAGGTGGCTCCTGTCCTCCCTCTCTCCACCTTGTTGGTTGGAGAAGTGCAGTCCCCACACCTCATCTTTTGGGATGTCCTCCAGCCCCTGGGACCACCTGCTTGTCTGGGACCTCCACCAGCAAATGCTATGCTAGCCCAGACCTCAGCTATTCATGTGCAAGGGTTTAAAATATGTTGAAATTGTTGGTGGTATGTTTTATTCTGAGTAGATCACCCCATAGATGGTTTATTAGACAGCTGTGTTGATTTAGCAGCAGTGTCATTCATTCTTCACTCATTTTTGGATTGAATTTAACCAGATCTTCTGTAACTGGTCGAATTCTCATGCTACCAATCACTCTTTCTCCTTTACTGGAGATAGGCAAGGACTCAGGATATGAGGTTGAAGCTGGGGGGCAGAAGGGGAAGCGGGACTCCCCAGCCGGAACTGGGACTTCATTCTGCAAAGTGCCTTGAAGACGGGGAGTGAAGGGGTCTTGCTTTAATTCTAACATCCTTCACCTCTTCAGAAAGTGAACATGTGATAAGAAACATGAATGAGGCTAGGCTGCCCTGCAGCCCCTCCTAGTCCCACAGGATCCTGGTGATCACAAGATTGCCTCTCCCTGTTCTGGTTAGCCTCCCAGCCACCCTCTAATGCAAGTTGGAACTAAACCCTCCAGTTTTCCAACAAAACTTGTAATTCCCATAGGACTTCAATGGATTTTTCAGATTCCAAATTCCCTTGAATAATCCTCTGATAAAACTTTCCTAAAAACACAGTGTTTAAACAGTTCAAGGCACATACCTAAAGTCTTGGTTCATGCAGTAATTAACCACAGTTCTCAAAATCAGTTTTAACAGCCTTTGAATGCAACTTGATGTCAAAGTTCATAAATAGTATGTTCTCCATTTCCTAAGTATTTTTGTGCTCCTGAAAGCCACACAGATACGGTAAATTCACAGAACAGCCATGCAAATATAGAACAATGTTATAGTTTACATTAAAGTAAACTATAAGAATAAGAATTACAGCATAACATGGACAGAGCCACAGGCATACAGACAGCAATATTTACGTATTTGCTCTGTATTTAACAGACAAGTTTGGTGAAACAGGAAGCAAATGTTCTATCTACAAGCCCTAAACATGAAATCAGAAGCAACAAACTTAAAGCTTTGAATTCTGGATCATATTACAAACATATTTCTAAGTTTTGGTTGAACCAAAATGATAATTTGACAGGGAAGCATAGAGCAGAAGGTGACATTAGCAAGAGGCCTGAGATGGGGAAAGGGTAGTAACTGTCTGCAGAGTTCATCCGAAGTCAGGGGAAAACTAGAATGTACCCTACAGCTAATAGATCTGCTGAATTAATGGTATTTAGTACTTGGCAGAGTTATGAATGTCCATTCCCAGAGTCAACTTTAAAAGGTTTTTCTCATGTTTCCCTTCAGGATCCAGGCTGGAGCAGTATCAGCTATTCTGTGGGGAATATGCCTTTGGGACCCCCAAGGTTTTCTAATTTCTGTATGAAAGCCATTATCTGGTGGAAAGCTGTCTGGCTTTGCCTGTCCTTGTGCCAAAGTTGCTGGCACAGGACCTGGAAGCCCACAGGTCCTCTGGCCCTGGGATGATGCTGACCCCAGGCTGCAAGCCTGGCTGGGATGTAGAATGCTACCCAGGCGTGGCCAGTGGGAAACCTCTAACACAGGTGCTGTGGAGAGATGCGTATCACAAAGCAGCAGGAGCGAGAAAGGGAGCCCTGCAGGTCCGAAATTCCCTGGCAAAGGAAAGCAGCACAAGAGGAGGAAGGGATGCTCCTCGTTCATCGCTTGGAGTAACTGGAACTAAAAACACAGTGTGAGTGCTCCGACTGCATGGGACAGGCTCTCCTCCCCAGAGCTTTTCACCTCCACCAGAGAGATAAAAGACATCTGTCAGTGTGGGGATTTCAACCGGCTTGAATATTTGTGGCTGTGATTTGGACCCTCGTCATGCCCACGTACTGTGTCACTGCAAGAGGAATTCAGTTACCATAGGTTACCCTATCAGTACAGGGACCAAGTGCCTCCCCTCTCATCAGCTCTATAAAAAGAGTCTCTCCAAGATACCCCAGCGGCTCCTGCCTGCTGGCGCAGACCAGGAGAAGCTTGGCTGTGGGGAGAGGAAAGGCTGCCAGAGGAGGTGTCAGCATGCCGTCTGCATTCCAGTTTCAGTGCCACTTCATTCTCATCTTCCTGGCAGCCTCCAAGGGGGAGACCAGATACCTAGAGGTGAGCAATGGGGCACTTTGCTGTGCTTTTAACTGCTGTCTTCTAACTTGTACTCCCAGGTTTCAAGCATTGTGCTTTTTCTTCTCTTTCCTCCTATTCCCACTCCTCCTTAAGCATACACCTGGGTAGCATTTAATGCAACAGTCCCACACCATGCCCTTGTCCCCCCAGTTTCTTCATCCCTTTTCCCAAACTTGCATTTTTACTGAGGATTTGAGATTTTCTGGGCTCATCTCCTAAGTGCTAGGTTTGCTCCCCTCTACTTCAGCTTGGCAGCTTTCTGACAGAGCTCTTCCACAGCTGCACTGTTTCTGGAGGAGGGATTTAAACTGCTGGTGCCTGTTCTTGAGAGGTGCAGGGAGGGGGCTGCATTTCACTTTGTCCCACACTCTTCCTGCCTCCCTTCCTTCACCAGGTGAGGGATGCTGGTGAAGATGAGCCCTTCCTACTTCTCAGTGAAGATCTGAAGCGAGAGCTGTCTGCAGGGCAGGTCTACCGGCGGTCGCTCCGTGAGTTTTTGGTATTCTGGTGGGGACCATCAGTGGGTTGGAGAGTCCTGGGGGGAGTTCAGGGCATAAGGAGGGGAACAGGGCTATCTCAGAGCAACAGACCTGCAGGCACCTCCTGCAAGGTGGGGGAGAAGAATAACAAAGTGTTAAAGTGTTGGGAAAACCGTGGTTGAGGCAGAGCGATTGAAATGAGGCTCTGAGAAGAGGCTGGGGCTCAGAGCTGAGGGTCCCCAATAATGGGAGGATGGGGATTGGCCACCCATGTCCCTGGGAATTATCACACCTTCAGGGCAGGTGGAGAAGCTGTGATTAGAGGGAAATCTGAAGGAAGAGGGTCTTTGTGCACTTGTGCACATGCAGTTTTCTTCTCAGAGATGCATTGACTTGTCATCTCCCCCTGCGCTCCCCCTCGCAGGCTTGTGCTCACACTTGAGAGCATGCTCTGATGCTCAGCAGGCTCCTAATTGCTTCAGCTGAGTCTCCCTCTCCTCACCACCAGCCGGGTCTCAGTGTATGGGTCTTTCTCCACCATCCCATTTCCTCTGCTGCTGGCGCTGAGTCTCCCTCCCCGGCAGGATGAGGCAGCAGCCCCGTGTCTGTGTTTCTGCAGGGTGCATTGACATGCTGAGCATAGAGGGGCAGTTCACCTTCACCGCAGACCAACCACAGCTGCACTGTGCAACTTTCTTCATCGGGGAGCCAGAGGAGATCATCGTGATCGACTACGACCTTGTAAACATCGACTGCAAAGGGGGTGATTTCCTGAAGGTAAGAGGCTGGCAAGTTCTGCTGCGTGTCACCTTCCCAACATGTCAGACATTCACTATGTGTGGAAGGAGCAGGCGAACGCGTGTGTGCATGAGTGTGTGTGTGTGTTTCTGCATGTAGAACAGGCTCTCACAAAGCAGCTGTCTCTGGGACAGCTGTTTCTCCTGCCTAAGGCACTTTGGGTATGTCTCCCCCATTACCACCCTATACAGCATAGTCGGATGCAGGCTGAGGATTCCTCTCCAAACCACAGCACCAGCCCTCCTGAACTTTTCCAGGAGCACCTCTGCTGAGTGTCCATACCCAGGGACTGACTGAAGTTTGGTCAGTACAAGCCAACCTCGTCAGCCCCATGAAGAGAGTTTTCTCAGTGCATGCAAGCCCTCCAGATAATGATGCAGCTTTCTGAATGGCTGCTGCAGGATCTCTGGTGGCAGGTCACTTAACATCAGCTTATTAATGAGTGGATCACTGCAGCCTTTCTTTCAAATGGCCCCACTAGAGCTTTCCAGGGTGTTTGCCCTGAACAGGAGGAGGTTTGTGACTCAGAGCCAGTTATATTCCAGTATCAAAAAAAAATTCACGAGTACATTTTGTTGGCAGGCAAAGCACTGACCAAGATCTGAACTCAGGTCAGGACTGCAGAGGAGGCTGCTCCCTGCATCTTGCACTCTGCTCTTTACGCTGTGGTGGCTGTGCATAGCACAGACCCTATCTCACCCAGTGGCAAATTAAACTCGGGGAGGTGGAAAGCTCCCCTTCAGCCCTTTCCTTGTGTCCCTCTCTTGGAGAGATGCTGTCCCCCTGCTTGGTTTCCTCCAAGGTAATCCTGTCCTTCCCATGCCCCTGGCTATGATCTCTTCCAATGTTGTTATGGGGAGGCTGATTTCAGCTTGGTTTGGGTCCAAGGATTTTGTACCTAGACTTACAGTCACTCACGGAGGATATAAAAATCTTTGAGGCTTTATAAAGGTTTCCCTCCTTTGATCATGGGGTCCCAATTTCTGCATTAAACTATTGTATTTATACAGGCAGCTTTTCCCTTGTGTAATTCGAGCACCCACGTCTCATTACTTCAGAAAATTTATAGTTTTAGGAAATCCAGAGACTGATCCTGCATTTTTATCATGAGGAATTCCTACACATACATTAAGATTACTCACTGAAGCAATGGCAGAATCTAGTCATTGGGTTTTCCAGGTACCAACTGGACCATAGAAGGAATTATTGGGTGAGAGCTGCTAGGAGGGAATCCAAACAGGCAACTGCACAGCTATGCTAGAATTTAATATAGATTTCTAGTTCTGACACATTTTCCTGAAGACAGGGAAGGCAAATCATTGCTGGTTTTGTTGTGAAGGAGAGATTTGTAGAGGTTGCTGCATAAGGTCCCTGCCAAGTAGGCAGCATTTGTTCTGCTTTCTAGTGATTATGATGAGCTGAGAGAAACGGGAGAGAGCTATACCTCTGCCAATAATTCCTCATTAAAGCTTTATTGTATTCCATTACCTCTGGAGGGCATCCAGGTCTTTAACGACAAGCTGCAGAACATGAATGGTGGAAAATTTCAGGCCAGATCAATGGACTTACTGCCCCGAGTTTGAGAGTGACTTATGTTTCCTATGGTTCCCAAATTAAGCTGATAAAGAACTTCTCTTAGTAACATAGAAATTGAAATAGTATGGAATAATAATAATAATAAAGATGCAAATGTGATGATGCTGTCGCAAAAAAAGAGCTGCTTCTCTCAAAAATAGCCACCAGCATTATCAACTGAAAGAAATGAAGAAAATTAAAACTAAAATTTATATATATGTATTTCCTAAATGCAGATTGACGCTTGAATAGTTAGTTAAATAGTAGGAAATTGATAAATAGCAAGAATTTTTGTTTTAAATTGGTGGTTTCGAACAGGCAATCTGGTGTCAAAATAAAACACTGTCTTTAATATTTCTTGTTTCTCTGCTAACAGAGCAATAAGCAAAAGCCTTGTTTTCAATTATTGAATACCTATAGGTATTTGATGGCTGGATACTCAAAGGAGAGAAATTTCCCAGTTCCTTGGACCATCCTCTTCCTACTTCTGAAAGATACATAGACTTTTGTGAAAGTGGCAATATTCAGAAGAGCATCAGGTCATCACAGAACGTGGCAATGATCTTCTTCAGGATTCACCAGCCAGGCAATGGATTTACCATCACAGTCAAGAAAAACACCAACCTCTTCCGTAAGTCTGCATCTTACACCATCTAACAGGCTCGAGTTTGGGGCTGGAAGCAAAATGAATGTGTTGATTTGCATTTTGAATTCTCTCACTGGCATTATCTGCCCTCACACAGCTCCAGTAGTGGCAATGGAGCCATGCACACCTGCAACGGAGCCATGCACACCTGAGGATTTGACTCAGGTGCAGCGTGTCTCAAGGAAAGAAGACAGTGAAGTGTAAGAGATAGCTTGGGCAGGTCTTCAGAGTTCAGGGCAGAAGGCTCTTTCTTACAAAGTTATTTTCCAATCTAGTATGTCATATTCCAGCACACTTGGCTAGAACAAATAGTATTAATTTAGAGAGTTTAATCTCAGCCACTTGTAGATCTGGGTGAACAATGAGGTAAAATATTTGAAAACAGTCAACAGCAAAACCACCATATTGAATGTTATGTGATTGTTATGACTGATAGTTCCTGTGTGATGTACTCTAGGTTACCCTGCTCTTGCAGGGGTGTTGGACCAGATGATCTCTTGAGGTCCCTTCCAACCCTTGGGATTCTGTGATTCTGTGATTCTGTGATACATGATTCCAAGAATCTATGCACAAGTTCTTTCCTTAAGCCTGTGAGATCACAAGGCACAAATAATGGTCACTTGCATCATTTTTCTGAGGGGGGACAGACCACTTAACAATTACTGTTCAGGCCAGTCTGGTTTATCCACCTCACCATACAAAGGATGAAGATGATGGCCTGTCCATTCTGTTCTTATTCCAAGTTGTACAGACACAAGCCTGCAAGCTGGGTCCCCACACTGGTGTGACTTCCATGCCCATGGATGTGATTACTGTGTGCAGTTGCTGGAGGTGTCTTGTGTCCTTCATCAGCCTGCTGAAGCAGCTGCAGGCCTCCAGATAGGTGTGGAGTCCCTTGCATTGCACACACAGATGATAAGCTACTCTCTCACCTGAACTGTTAAGCTTTAACTCTAAGACAAAATCAGCATGTATCCACTCTATTTTCAACGGGACTTTTTGCAGGGTAAGCAACTCCACTTAAGAGCTGGCAAAACCAGGTGACAACCACTCAAAGCTAAACAAAAGGCCTGCACCTGTATTTAGCTTCCTTCAAACTGGAAAACAACAGGAGCCCCTCATGTATGGATTTGAGGTGTGAGCTCTCCCACTGACTGCTTTACCCTCAAATTCTGCGAGACCTCATACTACACAGTAAGCAATAGACAGAGATTTTTTGGGGGACAAATGCTATGCAAGAATGCCAGAAATGCCACATGCATATTTTCCAGCATTTGGTTGTCACTCTCAGTAATTAAACCATCTATTCTTCGTTAGTACTGAAAGTACATAATTTTGCCACAGGCCATAGTGACTGCACAAGTAATTCTTATACCTTCTCCTGTGCTGCAGCTTGCAATGTCATCTCTCAGACTCCTTCGGGAAGATTTACCATGGTCATTCCTCATCAGCACAGGAACTGCAGCTTCTCCATAATATACCCAGTGGTGATAAAAATATCTGATCTTATGCTGGGGCATTTAAATGGCCTCTTTTTGAAGGTGAGTTGCTTATTTCCTAAAAAATTACTACCATGTGCAGTTTTCCTGGTCATGGGAGAGGGAAGAGTGTTAAAGCGGGGATAACAAAAGTGGCATGGATGCTAAGGCATGTGACTCTGGGTCCCACGTGCACATGCTGGAGGCTCTGGTTTCCCCCCAGAGAAGAGAGCTGGTTATGTCTCTGTTGCTTGTCTTTGTAATGTTGCAGAGGCAAATTATGCTAAGTACCATTAATGCATGTAAATATTGGTTGCCATAACAAAGGGTAAGAATTTCATTAGAAATAAAGCAGTGCTTTCTGTCTGTATTTAAACTAATGAAATCAGCAACTGTGCTGAACAGAGAAAGAAGACATGGGTTAGACAGTGAGGTATTAGCATGGAGAAAATACAAAGGTGCTCACAATTGATTCCTTGCTCAGCATGCTGAGCATCCTCTGATTCATTAGCGTGGGGCTGTGGTTTGGCCACAGCATTTAGCTCTTGGTGATGAGCAGCAGGAGGAGACAAGAGCTGTTGGTGGTCCCCTGTGCCTGCAAGGTCTAAGAAGGTGCAAATTCCAAACTATCCAGAAGGACAGGAGCAAGAAAGTTTATTTTCTGAGCCATTGAGACTGGCAGCCCAGGTCACTCATGGGGGACTGCTAGCGTCTCAGCAAACCAGACTGTGAGAGATGAGCAAATGAGTTGACTTAGCAGCGGGCAGAAAAGGGACAATAGCAGAAGACATAAAGAAATCAAGCACTTAAATAGCACCATACAGGTGACAGCCCAAACGTGTACACGGTGTCTGCGCAAAATGGTTTTGGCAAACATCATTAATTTTCAGGAAAAGAATGCTTGTGGGTCTAATATATGGTGAGCTATTTTTATTATACAAAACTACTCTTTTGGTTAATTCCTACTTTAATTAAGCTCTACCAAAAGCAACACTTATTGTTTAGGAATATGTATGGCATAGTGGAACTCAAGTTCCTGCATGCCAGCTGAGTGCACACATGCAGCCCATGCCTATATTGATTTGATTACATGTCTAAGCATCCAGAATCAGACTGCTTATCTGCACTAAAAGAAATTGAATCAACACCTTGACTACTTGTCAGTAATTTTCACAGCCTACTTAGGTGTTTCTTCAGAATCCCTTAGAAAGTTAACTGAGTAATGTCAAATTGAAGTAGTATTGTTCAGGATAAAACCAGCTTGATTTCGTACAGGTTTGATCACGGAGAACTTCTGAAACCTACTGGTGGCTGCAGTCATGTCTAGAGAACTGCTACATTTTGAAGATAAATTATAAATAACTGTTAATCTCTGCCTTTTCAGAAACCATCAGCAGGCTGTTCAGGAGTGGGAGATTTTGTAGAGCTGCTAGGAGGAACTGGCTTAGACCCATCCAAGATGTTTCCACTTGCTGATCTCTGTCACTCTTTTCATGGGTCTGGTAAGAGCACTTTGTTCCACTTAACTCCATGTGATAAAATAATTAGCCAGAAAGAGTCATGCAGAGGCCCCCAAACCTGGATTTCCTGCTAGACTGGTAAACTTCACATCTAGCAGAACATGAAAGCTAAAGCTATTTGAGCCTGTGGCTGGGCTGCATTACACAGAGGCAGAATGGTTCCATTTTCAGCTAAGGATTTTTTTCTCAGTTACTCGGTGTTTCCAAAGCCTCCTTTTCTGCTGCAGAAGTAACACGTACCCCTGAAGCCTCAGAGGTCCCACTCTCTGCTTTGAACCCTGGAGGAGCTCTGTTCCTGTTTCACTGCCATGCCACAACAGTGACCTGTTTTTCCCCCTAAATATGAGAATTCCCAGTTTCCTGAAAATTCAGTTCAGCAGAGTACCAAGCGTTGCAGTGATATGACAGATAAGCCCCTGTGGCACATGTGTTGTACCTCAGAAGTACGAACAGGAACATTGAGGAACAGCATATCCACAGGGCTGGAGAACAGACATGTATATGGCCCTTCACACATGTGATATCTCTTTGCCTTTCATCACATCACAACTTCATTTTCCAGGCACTGCTCAAAGCTTTAACTGGTGCTGAGTGAATACTGAGCTGTGTGATGAGATTAAAATGTGCTTTCCTGGTGGTGAGAAGGAAGGGAAATCCCATCTCAACAGCCCTTCCTCTCCCAGTGACCCACCAGATTCCTCCTCCAGTGAGGAAAATGCTCCAAGTTTCTCAAATGAAAGAGGCTTTGCCAAACTGCTGCTCAAATGGCTTATCTAAAGCAGTAGCTACTGATGGACTCGATTTCCCCCAGAGTGAGTCCATATACTGCCACTGCCATTTGCGTTTGTCTTGGTGGGACTCTCACATGCCTTTGTTACTCTGAAGCTCCTCCTTACACACAAAACCACTCATTCCTCTAACAGGAAACTTTCCAAATTGTTCAATTTTGGTATGTTTAGGATACAGCAACATTTCCCTTACCCATTGCTCCTTGTATCTTACAGTAGCATACCTTATCTTCCCAAGACATCTGCATCATGTCCACCTGTGCATATCTAAAACTGTAGGTGGATAGGAAGTGAGCGGCATTTACATGAGTAAAGGTTACAATACTTGATTAAATACCCAAGCCTTTGTACAGTAAAACTAACAAATACAAAAAAGGGTATTTAGTCAGCAATACCACCACTAGCTGGTCTCACATACAAATTTGCTCTGCTTTCAAAATTGTATGTATCAGTATTTCGTAGTTCTCAATGCTATTTATCTTTTATCCCTCTCTTTCATATAAGTGTATCTTTGTATCTCCTCAATATCTCTTTTCCTTAATTAGCACAAATGAAAATTGGCTGTGACAATACCGTGCTGAGAATGGTCTCCAGTGGCAAACATGTCAACCGTGTGACATTTGAGTATCAACAAATCAACCTGCAGGAAACAGAAAACAGAAAGGAGAACAGCATTGAGGAATTCTGCTTTCCTAGTATCTGAAAAACCAGGCCACACATTTTCACATAGCTAATGAAAATAAGGTTCTGGTGAATTAAAAAATATGTATTTTTCCTTTAAACAGCTGGTAGTATCAAGTCTTTCTACAGTACAATAATATTTTTTTTTTCATACAGATCAGTCATTCCCATGAACAAGCAAGTAAAAGCAAACAATATATTAATCTTTGTTACTATCACTGTATTATTTCCACAGTATTTAAGATCATTTCCCATGCCCAAAATCAATAGCAAGAACAGAAGGCTATGTTTCCCAAACAAATATTATTAGGAAAACAGAAAAAGACCCTCTGTGTATCTGGTCTGAGTACATATGAAACCCACAATAAGTATGAACTTCACGCAGCAACTTTATCCTTTTATATCAGGTATAAACAAAAAAAAATAGATGGTGGAATACATTTCCAGTTTTGTAAGAGGAAACCCAGAATTAGTGTGTGTAAAAACTACTGGTTTGTTTATGACTATAAATGTACTATTTATTTCTAACGACGTGTTTTTAATAAAAATTTATAGCATGGAAACTTCCTCACATAAATCCAAATAAATAAATTCATGTAAAGAGTTGGCAAAACGTTATTACGTTGTATCTTTCTGAAGAGCTCGCCCAGCATTCTGGTTTAACTTCCCAAGTCTTGTGCAGTTTTCTGGAAATGATGATTTTGATCATATGTTACTGTGAAACTGTGGACTATTAAAGTAACACTATGGGCAGAAATGTATTTTGCCAATCTTGTGTACACCTTTAAGCGGAGTACGTTCCAGCTGTACACTTACTGACACCTTCCCTGGGGAGTAATTTTGGACAGGTGTCCTGCTGACCTGTGGAAGCACGGATGTAAAAGTACAGATTCTTATTTTACAGATCTTTGGTGACCCAGAAGAGGAGTGTAAGGCTGGAGAGCTCTAGGAAGCACAGTGCAGCAAAGGACCAGGGTTGTATCCTAGCTTGGAGGGAAACGCATGGACTGATTCTTTTGTTTTCTGGGAGTACTACCTGGGAATAGTGAGACCAAATTGTTCCTCCTCTGATGTTCAATTAACGGTCAACCCTGATTAGTCCGGCTGCATGCTGGATATCTTCAGCACTGGTTTGTGGCTCTGAATCTCATAGTCAGTCACCAAAAATCAAGTGTCTTGAGTGGTCAGCAACATTGAAGTTAATCCCTCCTGACTGAAGGGGGTGAAAACCACAAGATGCCCCAGTCTCTCCCTTTGTAGGGCTTTGGGAACCTAGTTTTGGTGACTGACTCATGAACAGAGAGATGTATTTGCCATCATGGCAGACTCAGGGAAGCGTGTCGACCCTGCTGGGTTGTTCCAAAGAAAACCCAGACAAAGCTGCTGCTGGCTACCACAGGGCATGGAGCCTAGCTCTGGGCTCTGATCCAGCTCCATGCAACCCACCATGGGCTTCCTGGGCCCCCAGTGTGGTGCTGGCCGTACTGGTATGGTCACCCAGCACCAGAGACATCGAAACATAAAAAAACTAAAAAAAAAAAATCGAGACACAAAGAAATACCATTTTTCCTGAGAAAATTTGCAGTGACAGAGGACCTCTGTCCCACAGCATCACATTCAGCTTACCATTTATGGGTTCCTGTCACTTTCAGGGTAGCCCTAACTGCATCCAGCCCCACCAGGCTTTCCTGGGAACCCTTTGGTGAACCAGGGCAGGTTTCTGGGCTGTACAATTTGGGAACAATGTCACAGATTCCATATCAGACTGTACCTGTCCACGTACTTGCCTTAACAGTGGGGAGGGATAGAGGTCTGTAGTAGTGCTGCTCCTTGGTCACTAAGAAACTTCAGAGATGAAAGATCAACAACATATCTAGCTCAGGACTAGATCACCAGTGAAGATAAACTTACAGTCTGTTGCTCAGTGCAGTTTAATAGTGGTATTTCCCACCTTTCAGGTTTATGAGGTACTTTTTTTTTCAATCCTAACATTCACATGCAGGAAAACCAGGGGATCAAACCCAGTTAGCATGGCACTTGAAGGGCAGGTCCTGCTTCTCATCATAGGATGAGAACAACCTGAACTCATCCTATGACAAGGTGATCCTTGTAAGTTGTGGCCAATGATATGAGATTCAACAAGACAAAGCGCCGGGTCCTGCACTTGGGCCAAAACAACCCCATGCAGCTCTCCAGGCTTGGGGAAGAGTGGCTGGAAAGCTGCTCATGGAAAAGCACCTGGTGGTGCTGATTGGCTGAGCTTAATATGATCCAGCTTGTGGCCAGGTAGCCAAGAAGGCCAATGGCATTCTGGCCTGTATCAGCAGTAGCATGGCCAGCAGAGCCAGGGCAGTGATCATCCCCCTGTACTGGGCACTGGTGAGGCTGCACCTCAAATCCTGTGTTCATTTCTGGGCCCCTCACTACAAGAAAGACACTGAGGTGCTGGAGCAGGGCCAGAAGAGCAACAAAGATCGTGAAGGATCTGGAGCACAAGTGTGATGAGGAACAGCTGAGGGAACCTGGGTGGTTTAGCCTGGAGAAGAGAAGGCTCGGGGGGGACCACACTGCTCTCTACAGCTACCTGAAAGGAGGATGGAGTGAGGTGAGGTCGGTCTCTTCTTCCATGTTACAAGTGATAGGACAAGAGGTAATGATCTCAAGCTGCACTAGGAGAGGTTTAGAACTATCCCTTCCCCAGAGAAGGTGGGCCAGCATTGCAACAGGCAGCCCAGGGCACTGTCTCTGGAAGCATTCAAAAACCATGTGGATAGGGCCCCCAGTGACATAGTTTAGTGGTGGACTTGGCAGTCCTGGGGTAAAGGTTGGACTTGATGATCTTAAAGGTATTTTCCAACTTATTTTATTCTATGACTTTAATACCTCCAAATCACCAAGGCCTTAAAGAAAAGATACTTATGTTCAGAGGGGTTAGATTTCCTCTCCCATAGTACACAGAAATGGTGTCTACTACTAAACTTCCTGTTATAGATGAAGGAGAATGAAAAACAAGACTTGGTGTAGGACAGCATCATGTGTTCCTATTGCTCCATGCATAATAGTCAAGTATTGGTTGACCAGTCAAGTCATGGTTTTCCCAGAACTGGTTGTCACTTCCCCTACTTCTTTTAATCAGCATAAATTTAGGCAGCACCATCAATGACATCACTGCAGTCTGTTGCCTATATTAGAAAAACCCAGACCACAGTCAGACAGGCATTCATTGGCCCATGCTTTAAGGCCCACCTCATGCAGAAAATTAATAGTCACTTCAATCTGTGTGCCTGTATTAAAGGAGGCCCTTGTTATTTTGGAAGTTGCAGAGCTTCAGTCACAAGCAGTCATCTTATAGATGTCAAATGTCACAATGTCTCCAGGGCTTAGGTCTGGAAAGTAGGGAAATAAGTATCCTCATGAATGAAAAGAAAGGAAACCAAGACAATAAAAACACTGTAAGAAGACAAAAAAACAAACCAAACCAAACCAAGCCAAACACAAAACCCCCACAAATAAAAAAAAAATCAAAGCCAGCAAACAAAAAAAACGAAACCAAAACCCTGAAAACACCCCCACAAACAATAACAGCAAAGCAGAGAAGCAGCTACTAAAAATTTGTAATAGGAAAAAAGAAAGCCAAGATGAGAAATATGTCAATAACATGAATATATGTTGAAAGACACAAGAAAGTGACATAGGAGCTAATAAGATTGTACCCTGGAGGCTTACAAGATCTGGAAAGACTCAAGAATTGAAAAAAAAACAAAACTACAGAACAACCAAAACCAAGTTCCTAATAATAAAATGGAACAAAAGACTTTGAAGAGGCACTGCATGGAAATGTTGGCTTAGGGAAGAAATTGTATGTCCTGAATTTAGAAACCCTGACATCTGTCACTGTAAGCAAAATAACACAAACCACAATTAAAGCTAAAACCTACTAAATTGACAAAAGATGTGACCGACAGGCTTGGTGAAGATTCCTGGTGAAAAATTAACCATTTCACCCTTTGATTTGGCATCAGCACTGCGTTTCCCTTAGAGAAGTGATGTAAAAGGTGGCATGGTCCCACAACAGCACTACAGAGCATAGAAGCACCATGTTAGATTTACAAAGAAAAGCACAGAACTTGAACTGATCACTCAGCCAATGCTCACAAGCAACTGAAAAACTACAGCACCACAGAAACTGCAAAGGAACCCGAGGTTAAAAACTGTTGTTTGCAGGGAAAGGAAAAAAGTCAGCAATTCTTACTGGAATCTCAAACTTGGAAAACAGAGGGACATAGAGCATGAATCAACTCCTGCATTTCTGTACTAACACCTAAATCAAGGTGGCTGTTCAGAAAAAACAGTGTAGTGAGTTGCCCAGAGGGAGGCTGAATTTCCCACCCTGGGTAAAATTAAAATTCTTCTACTTAAAGACCATGCAATAAATCTTCATCTTTACCATGTAAATTAATAACAATTGCAGAGATTTATTGGAGAGTGGTAAGTCTTTGTTGTTGAAATTGCATAGAAGATGGAAATATTATGGAGGTAGTGAGGAAAAAGCCTGAGAACTTGTTCCTGTAGAAGTGCCCTAAACATTTGTAAGAATCAGTCAGCTGAAATAATATTCATCAAGAGTTTTCTGGCAATGGAAAGGGGAACATTTTTATGTGTCCTATCAACACAGAGCATGTGCCAAATGCCGTTTAAAATAGGTCTTGGTAGAGGAATAGATACAGACTTGTTCAAGTGCTTTAGGATTTTTAAGAGAAAAAACCAAAACAGAACAAATCAAAATTGTTCAGGAATAAAGGATTATTATTATCAATAAGTAAAAGTGTAGGAGAAATGTTTTATTAAGGTTAGAATTGCAACATTTGGAGGTAAAAACTCAGCAGAACAATTGTAACTGAGAAGGACTGATCATAGTGAGATGTTACAATGATTTCTTGTATTGTGAGTTGATCATCTGTTCCCAAAATCAGATTCTTTATTCTTAAAGCAGTGAGAAAAAAATCACAGACTTCTTGGCAGTAATGTGCAATTATGCATAATAATATGCAATATTATTTTAAGTTAGAGTAGTTCTGATAAATTAGTATTGATTTTTACCTTTGATACTGACAATGAAAATGAACACTCAAAGACAAGTGTGGTCTTTCTGAATGGTCTAAATTACTTTTAAAACATCTTCTAAGTATCTGCTCTGCTAACATTGATTTTATGAAATTGTGCCCTGCTTCTGCTATAGTGAAATTTTGATCAATAGATAGGAAGAAATCACACAGAGGCGGAATATTAAGGGAAGTGAATTTGCAGAACACATTAGGTATTTGATCATATAACCTGCTGCCCACTCCTGCAGATTTATAATACATCTCCAGAGCCATCGCACTGTGCTGGCGTCACATGCCAAGTGGATTTTTTGCTAGCTACAGGGACCGCACTATTTTGTGCACATAGGGTACTAAAGGCTCTGAACTCTGTTATCCTGCACTGGAATATGTGCAGCATCAATTATGTAACAGGGACCCAACTAATTTTTAAGAGCTTAAAGAAATTTCACTTGCCTTCATGAAATGCACACTTCTTAGGACCTCAAAGCTGTACTTACTCAGTTCTAAACACAAGCTGAATTATACTTCAAGGAAGTGATTCATTATAGTCATTTTTATTCAGAGCCTCATTACTTCTGGTATCTGAGTAACTTTCTTGTTGATAAATTGACACAGTTTTCACTTTTTCTCCCCACTTTGCTTCTTATCTTTA